CTCCTATTCAAAAAATCGTTCTCGCGTATCGAACAACTGTGACAACAGAAACAAAGGACAGCCCTGCACTCTCCATCCTTCAACAGAGTGAAGGACCGTATTGGACAAGACGGGTTCAAGTGACCAATCCTCTTTAGTCTTGAACAGACCAAACTACGGGGAGAGGGGGGGGCTTGATACAAGCATCTAAAATCCCCCAAATATTAAAGGTTATATCAGGAACAAAGGTAAAAAAAAAAAAGACCCAAAGAGATATTCTAGTCTGAATCTAGATCTGGTACCACAAAGTCCTTCTTTACATTGAGGGGTGTAGCCATGTTGCTCAGCAATGCTGTAGAAGCTGATTTTCTGTAACACCTAGAAAAATGGGATACATTCCTTGGCTCTGAAACCTACTTGATCCATGACCTCCATTCATCTGTAACCTTCCTTATGTTCTTACTTCACTGCAGTCTACCCCAATTGTTCTTCGACCTTATTCCTCCCTTTTTAGTTCAAAACATTTTCCCAAGGGCATCAGCGGAAAACCATTCTCTGACATTTGTGATTTAAAGGCTTTGGCTTGAGGGCGAGCAGATCCAGCCGAACATATTCTGGAGAACTGGCCTTTCAGTTAAGCAAATACATGGAGGAAGGACACAGAAACAACTAAACATGCTGAGAAAAGTCACTGGAAAGTCCAAAGATTATTAATTGGCAAAGTGTAGTCTTTGTTTAATCACACCATTATAGGAGAAGTGCTTTAGAGGTCTGTGAATCAAAACCAAACATCTGCTCTTCTGGGAAACTGGTAGTGATGAAATTCCAACACAGTTCTATTCAATGGCTTAGTAATAAGATCCCTCTTGTCAACAGTACTATTACACCTCACTTTGATTTCTTTAGAAATAGAAGAGAGGCTAAATAAGAGTTTTAAGAATTTTCTAGGGTGCCTTGCTCGTGACAATTGGGTCATTCAGGACAGGAAATCAAACCCTGCTAAATTTGCTAATAAAAGTAATCTGCTGGCTTCCAAAAAGTATAGGATACTTTGGAATACATATGGAATAGGTCCTGCGTGTCCCAAGATCAGGCAGGGAGAATCCTGGCTTTTCCTTGCACACAAACTTCTAGAATGATCAATTAACATTTTTCCACTATTTCAACAGGTTTATGGAAGTTAATTTATTCTCACTTTTGTTTCAACCAAAACCTGATTGAAAAAGCAATATCTGTAAAATATATTGAGCTTCAGAGAAGGCGTTTTTGTATTATCCTATTTAGAAAATAAAACAGATTAGGAACCTGACATGAACTAAGGCAGATCCATACACCACAATGCAGTAAAGGGGGGTAAACTGAGTCTCAGACTTTTAAGAAATATTTTTTTCCATCCTGGCATTTCATTTTTTAAGCATTATGCTCCTTGATTCACTGGTGATAAAGCTGGAATTATTTTTTTTCACAACAAAGGAATTACTGGAACCTCTTACAAACCTTTACTCTGACTCACTAACAGTGAAATGCGTGAAACACTCGCTTACCCAAAGAATAAAACACTTTGTCAATAATTAGCTTGCAACTCATTATTACTACCCTGAAAAAAAGGCTACAAAAGGGAAAAAACAACAGGTGTTATTTATTAAATTATGAGTGCATCTTTTACTACTAGTTCCCGTTATTAAGACAATGTGACTGGACATACAAAAAAAACATTCTAGGAATTCAGTAAATTCCAAAAAATCTTCAGTTGCTGCAGTCTAAAAGGATCAGACATACATAAGCATTTGGCAATGAAGTTCAGTATTCAAATAACAGCTTTACAAATATTACATTAAATGCAGGTTAGGCAGCTTCTCTAGTCTGTAATCCCCACATCCCCTGTGCTACATGTGGGTGACAAATCAAGAACATTTTTGACTTATCACCCATGACTTCACATCCATCATTTAAATTCTGATGAAAAAAGAAATGCAAAAGATAAAAGCTCACAAGGTCAAGCTCATAAGCCTTGCTGTTTTTTAGGCTTAGCTTAAATTCCAATGCATCTGACAAATGCAATGAGTCCACTGAAACCGACTCACACATTGCCCAACAGGCCCAATGATTAACTGAGCAAACACAGAGGGTGAGACCTACTAGCATGAGGACCAACACCTCCCCCCTACACACCTTGAAATCAGCACATGAGCAGGGGGGGTTGTAAAAGGCACAGCAGTACATTGCCTGCTAAACTGATATAGCCATAAAGATCAAATCAGCAGTTAAAAAACTGTTGATAGGAAAGACAATTTGTTTTCTTCAAAGCTTTCATGCAATAGGCAGGCAATGTCTCGTGTGCATCAGCAATGGCATTACATTTGTGCTTATGGACATCAAAATAATTTCGAATCTAAACTACTGAATACCAAAAGAGAGCAGTAGGAAATGTTTTGACATGTCACTTCAACACTGCATAAAACATTCGCATATATGTGATGGCATGCTGACTTCTGTGTTTGCATTCTTCAAGTTTCACTGATAGACTGTATTTAGGGGTAATCTGCACTTGACAAAGACTTTTCCACAGTTTCATTAAACAGTTTTCAGTAAAGTACATGTAGAGTTCACTGGAAAGATCAAAGGGAGAGAAAAAACTTCTGCACGTGACGCAACATCAGAGTGCAGGGCGTGTCTACAATAATGTAACAAAGCATATTCATTGTTGGCAGCTGGCATTTAGCCTGGCAATCCATAGAAAGCGATATGTTTTTGGAACCTGGTCATGGACATGGAGGAGAACCTTCCTGTTTCCCGTCCCACCCAACTCATCGAGTTCTTCCAGAGCTCGTTCTTTTCTGCCCAGAAGGGATTGCGCAGAACATCTGTACAGTACGTACATGACACAACGGTTTTCAGGAAACTAAAGGAATTCAGCTGTACTGAACAGCAAGATTTCCCCCATCTGACTCATCCTGTGAACCTGGCTTCTGTGAGGCACTGACTGAGCAACTACAAACCACACAAACCCTTTTATTTTGGATACCACTGCCACCACTACCTCCCTCCCGATGTTTTTATTCCCTTAGTACTTTGTACTCGGTGCCCTTCTGTGTAGCCCACAATAGGAAAAGCCTGCATCCGTGCAAACCTGCCATTAATAAAAGTGCAGGTCCTTGCATTCCTTGGTCAGTTTTCAGTAGTAATGGTTTCCGAATAAAAACGGGACGGAGGCAGGTAATCCCGTTTAAAACTGCAGCCTCTGTAACTGCTGTGGAATGCATTAAGGATTTTTTTCCTCTCCTTTTTACCATTGAAAATGACTTAGCAAGGCTGAGTCAGCAGCACACAGCTTTAAGATCAGTTAATTAAAGCACATATGCCGCCCATCCAGGGGGAAGGCCACATGCTTAATGGAAAAGGCTTTTTCCCAGAGACCTTCCATTGCTTTCAATGTTGGCACGTCTTCGAGATCTCCGCTCCTGACTTGTTTCTCAATGATCTACTGGGCTGCCAGGGACAGAAGTGACAGCTTACAAGAACAGAGCCATCACTGCCGCACAGCAATACAAATGCATGTTTTGAGCAGATGGATCAAAATGACGTGTCCCGCCTTGTGAAAGTATCACACTGGGACTACATGTTTGGTATGAAAATGCCTCATTTCAGAAAGCACTCCTAACAAACCACTACCCTCAGCCTCAGCTGTCACTGCCTAGCTTTCCAATCTTGAGAAGCAAAAATAAGCCACATATTCAAATGTTTTACTTTAATAGAAAAGATATACAATTCCCATGCAAAATTCTTACTGTGGAAGCATCACCACTTCCAAACTGAGTAGGCAAACAAAGGGTTAAACTCTGATTTAAAATATAGACTTGCACCCCTTCCCCGTAACCAATTTATTCTACAGAGCAGGAGGGTCCAATCAACGTCTGGGAGGGCTGGTGTGTCAGCACGCTTTGTTCCAAGCCAGTTCTTATCCATCTACATCAGCTCATTATTAGCTTAACTAGATCAATTTAACAACTCCTTCCAGCTCATCAGGTGCTGGTGCTTTAATGAGACCTAGAAGAACTGCTGACACACCGCCCTTCCTGGAACAAGACTGGGCACCCCTGCTGCAAGGGGTCATAGCAAGAGCAGGCGGGCACAAGACAGGACAAAGGGCAGTCCTCCTCACAGCAGAGACACAGCTGTCACTCTCATAGGCAACAAGGGCGAGGGGGTAATGTAGATGCCAACTGACCAGAAAGCATGCCTTTTTGATTGAGGAGAGGAAACTGAATACATGCAAACTCCAAACAGAAGACACCATAGGCCAGAACAGAACCCAGGATTCTAGAGTTGTCATGAAGCCTCGTTATCAACTCTTGCACCCAGCTTCAAATACAGACATTGCAAAAAAAACCCATTAAAATAGCTGCACGTATAATAAAATTAAAACTTCCAAGTGCTCAGAAGTGCAAATATTGTGGCTAAACTGTTCAAATCTATCTCATCCAGTAATCTTGTATATCTGCTGGTGCCTCGCTGCACCTCCTGCTGAGAAAGATCACACATGCAAAGAAATTGAAACTGAAGTCACTAGACAAGATTCTATACAAGAAACCAAGACTACAGTTTCATTTAATTCATTTATTAACAAACGTCATCTTGCAGTCTGATCTGAGTAACACTGAATGCAAAAGTCTTTCATTTAAAATGTCTTTTGCAGAGTGCTAAAATAGAGGTCTGTTTTTTATAGGAAATAAACATTCGACGTTAATTGAAACATTGTTTTGATTATGTTGGTCACACTAAATACAAAAGAAAAATAGAAAAGAAAAATCAGGACGTGCTAACAGTGCTTAAAAGGTCTAAGCCACGAGATTTTATCATCTCAGAATAAATCCTGGAAAAGCTTGAAAATCTGCCAAAAAAAATGTGTATCATTCTGAAGGCTCCTGGAAGTTGCCCAAGCAGCTTGAGCGACACTGCATTTATGTGCTGGACACATTTTTTATGCCAAAAATGTTACAGCCCTGTTTTTCAGGGTCTACAGGAAAGTTCACTCTTCTGGTAATTTGTACTTAAATCTTCATCTGATCACTCCCCACAATGCGTAGGAAGTTGAGCACAACCCAGACTGAGTTTTAGTGACTTCAAAAAGAGCTCACCTGGGACTAGGCTGACTCTAGCACAGTTGTTTCAGTCTCCATCCTGTCAGATTCAAGTGTACAGAGACCACAGAGCACCAGAAGCCAGAGACATTTATTTTGGACATTTGTATGTCAAATGATCTATTTCTGCTGGAGGATATTTACACTTGTCCTCAGGGATATTAAACCAAACTTGACAATCCTGTGAACTACACTCCATTATTTCTATTTTTTTAAGACTGCAGCCTTCTGTTGCTCTGCACTCGTTGGCAATATACCAGGAACAAGAAATGCAGATTATTCCTCAAACAAAGCTCAGAAAGAAGATAGCTGCAGAACAAATTCAGGGAATGTCTTACTCATATCAGGAGGAAACAAGAAATTGTTATTACAGGAAATACACGCATGAGGCGTCACAAGGGCTGTAGGAGGGATCTGTATCATGGCACAATATTGTAACAGACAGCTATTAAGAACGCTACTTTGTTATTGAGTGCTACCGCTGCAATAAAGCTTTGTTAATAAAGGCTCGTGTATTCTATATGATGCTACTTCATTATTGTTTTTTAAAACCTCCTGAAACACATTGACGTTAGAAAACAAACCCGTGCAGTTTTCGATTATCTTGTGTTTATTTGTATTGTTTTAGAACGCTGTTTGCTATATATTGGAAAGTAAATGGTATGCGACTATAATAGCTGAGTAGTTGGTCGTTACAAAGTCATATGGAGCTTAAAGTGTTGAGTTCCTCCAACACAATCTACAAGAGGTCCGGTAAGCGAATATCAACCATTAGGAAAAATACAAATAAACACGGAAGGGTTCCCCTCTCATTTTTACTTTGATATAACGACCGATGCCCTCCGAAGTTTTAAGGCAAAAACTCCAACTCTAACCCAAGACATCCTTCATCGTGACAGGGCTAACGGTCAGCCTCTTCAAATAACAACACTCAAACCCGTCCATTAAGTTGGAGCTCCCAATCACTTGTGACAATAAGCAAAATTGCTGCTGCTTGTTAATTATGCACGTAAATAATGGGTTTTATATGGGCTGCCTAAAATAAAGTTTACTCCCCTTTATATCATCCAATAGCTCGGGGCGCGCACTCTTTAAGACTCCTTGTACGTCAAGGATCAACACTGCCTTACCCACGCTACCTGGCGCCCCAGCAAAACTGAGAAAGCTCCCGGCCTGGTACCGAACTCCAGAAAGGTTGCTCTTACCCTTGTCTCCGGTCCCGAGTCCGAAATAACCTATCGGACATGCGAGTAATAACGCCGGACACAGCCGGCGCGTACACGGAACACACAAGCCTTCTCCAGGACATGGGTGCCGCCATACCTAGCTCTGGATTTTGAACCGACAAAACTTTATTGTCACAGAGGCGCACGGAGGAGCACACACAGCGTCTGCGGGCTGGGGACTGTGTTCTGGCTCTGCTACAGTGGGGCGCCTTAACCACGTTCATCCCAACTTGCAAGATATTTCCTGTACATGATTTAAAAAAAATAAAACAGCTTGTAGTGTACTGGGTTTGCGTGCAAAACCAAAAGGTTATTCGACGGAATGGCTTTTTTTTTCGAGTTTAAAGAAAAACAAGGGTCTCATTGCTGTGAATCTCCACTGGACGGCTGTGTGGGGGATAAATTCACCTGCGGTTATGCTTAAAATATTTCTGAATTAATGATTAGCAGTCGTTACAGCTAGCCGTCGTCCTCTGCAGTCTGAATCTGTGTTGAAACAGTCCGAAAAGGTATATTCTAGGTTCAGCCCTCGCACTGAATAGGTATAACTAGTGAAAGTACTGTGTGTTGTGTGCACCAACTGGGTCTGGGTCGGCGGTTCTGCTTTCTGACGGGTCTCAGGAAGCACGGGAGAGCTTGGCGCTCTAACGGGAAACACGAGGGGATGTGGTTTAATTACCCCGACGTTAGATGAACACCTGTGCTCGCCTGAAATGAACATTTTGCCGCCAGCTGCAAAAAACACTGAAGAGCGAAAGCAAAAGCTCTTCAAAATTTGATGCCCCCACCTCCCCAGTTCCAAGCATATGCAATGCAGCTTTCACGATACAGGGACTTTTGAAAATATTATCCATTTTCGTTTCCAGTCATTCTGCTCTTAAGAAATGGAACAAATGAACACAAAACTGAAAAAAACGACGCAGTGATTAATGTCGAATGGAACATTAAATCTGCCTGGAAGTCGGCTAATTCCTGACCCCCTAAATCATAAATCACGCTGAAGGGAGTTTGGGGGGTCCACCTGATTTCCCGAGCTACATGCAAGTAATAATAAGACTGACAGGAATTATTGTAATTTAGTGCATCTCACTGAGAAACATATCACCCAAGAGGGTAGCGGATTGCACTAATTTCTGCACGTAGTCTGTATGTGTGTATCCTAGTCTGGATTGATTTCACCTGAAGATGCGCTTCCCTAAGGGTACGTTAGCGAAAAAGAGTTTTGTTTACTCTGGCGTCTTTAGATTTGCCCAATTTTAAAACAAATATTTAACATTTGATAAAGAGTGCCCCCTCAAGGACAGCGGGAGCGGAGCACACGGCGTTTTAATGAGCCGTTTCTTTTTTTTATTAAAAAAAAGTTCGCGTCTCCTTGTTCCAGTGGAGGTCGTCGTCGAAAGGCTGACTTGACGGACGCGACCTACAGTACCCCTGTGCCCCCCACTCTCACCCACCCACGGGAAGTCCACGCCTCACACTGCGAGGAAAGCGCAGCCTAATCAGTCTTCCCGAATAAGATAAGCAAAACGTTATCTCCGATCTCATGACCCCTTAAGCGAATTACAGTTAGAGGACCTGAAGAGGACAGCGCAGCCATGGGTAGCTAACATTCCGCTGTTGGTAAATTGCGTTTTATTTCTTGTTGTCTTGTTTTGTTTTGTTTTGTTCGGCTGCAGCGCTTTTAGTGGTTGACGGGGAAATGGAGATCGCGGGTTACCGTAAGGGAGTCCCTTTGCTCCTTCTCATAGGGAAGCACTGGGCAGCCCACAACCTGAACTTGCTTCACCTTGTAAGAATGAGAGCAGTGTATTCAAAGCGGGGAAGCGGTGAGAGAGAGAGAGGGAGAGAGAGAGAGGGAGAGGGGGAGGGGTTGGGCTGTGTGAGTACCAGGAACAGGCCGGTTAAAAACATGAAAACTGTGTCTTTTACTGGAAGGTGGGGGGTGGAGCTTCTTACAGCATATGAACTGTACTAGCCGAGGGACTTTGGCATTATACGGCTGCCACTGCCTGGGTTACAGTCGGCGAGTACAAAAGCTCTGTAGCTCCAAGTCATTTAAAAGGGGGGCTGTTCTGTCGTCCTCTCCTGCAGAGCGCCTTCAAGCCCGGGACCCTGTAACTCTTTCTCCTTGCATCGCCTTATTGTGGAGACCCTCGACTGAGCCCGAGCAAAAGTTCAGGTTAAAGAAGACGCATTTGGATTAATTAACATTTTCAACAAGAACAAAAAAAAAAAGGATACTAGTTTTTGAAACCTTCCTCAAGGTAATTATACCGCTTTGTTTAAAAAAAAATCATTTTTTTTTCCCTACGAGTTTGCTATTCAAAACTTTTTTTAGGGGGTACTCTGTGTAGATCAACAGCGATTTACCAATAGCCCTTACCTTGAACATTACTGATCATTCATGTATAAAACAAAAATAACAGGGTTTAACAAGACAAGGGTGTTTGCCTCACTGAGACGCGTGTAGAAGGATGGAAATTATTAAACGCATGAGTGATTACCAAACACTAAATTTCAGCCGCATGGTCCAGCTAAGACAAGATGGCATTCAGTTGTGCAAGATACTGGTTCCTCCGGGGCTTCAAAACTTTGTTGAATATCGTGGATCGAGTTGAGGGAATATACAGATGGGGGAGGTGTGCTCGGGGGTGCATGGAGGGGGGATGGCTCCACAGATCGCTAGTCAGGAAACTGGGGCCCCTTTTCATAACAGAGGGGAGACTGTCCTGGGATGCTTTTATCCCTATAATGTTTCCCAGAACAGGAGAATGGAGCGTTCTTTAGACTCAAAAGAATGACTTTTCAGCATATTTCAAGAGCAGATGCGGAGAGAATTCAAGTAACTCTTCTTTAATGACGGGGGTTGTTACCGTATCCCGCAGCGCTGTGCGGTACTTGTACTGTAATGTAGTTTCACCGCAGGGAAAAACCAAAAGCGGTATTCCTCCTGTATGTCTTGAAAAAAGATCAGACGCGCAGCAGAACTGGGAAGGGGTGTTTTTTTTTTTTTCCCCAAGAGGGGAATGACTGCTGTGCGATTCGACGAAGATTAAGAATGGACCAGACAGTCTCCGTTAGCCTGGCTCACAAAACCCCAGTGAGATTTTTTCGATGATATCAAAGGAGATCGTGATAAGGTCAACGCAGAATTTGCGTAAACCGGAGATGCAATCTGTTTCACACGCCGAGTCTTTAAGATGGAAACCGTGTCTCCTCCTGCCTGGGATATTTGCGCTTCCAGTCCCACCAGGTGCTTTGGTTGTCAAAATGAAGTTATATTCTGTTACGGAAATTCTCGCTCCTAAAAGGCAGATGTCAGTGTCCAGAGTTGTGTCTCCCCTCTGGGCAACGTACTAAAGCAGTGTGCTGAATCAGCTTTAATGTGGTATTAGGGAACTCTACCGAGGTACACTGGATTATTGTAGCCAGAGTATTTACCCATGTCGCCTAACGCTTGCTGTTTATTTTTCCCCAGTGTGTGGTTAAAGGCCAAGAATAGCCGATCCTGATGCTCTAGTGGAAGAGCAACACCAGGATCCTCACCGTACCCCTGCCTGGACTTCGGACCCTGCCCCGAGAGGTCGCCCCGTTCTGGACACTGCGTCGTGAGGACCGGGAAGTTCAGGGCGCGTTCGCAGCGCCATGGTAACCCACAGCAAGTTTGACTCCGCGATGAGCAGCAGCCCTCTCGACGCCAGTATGCGGCTGCCACCTCACCGCTACAAGACCTTCAGCTCCAAGCTGCAGTACCAGCTCATCCTGAACGCCGTCCGGAAGTTGCAGGAGAGCGGTTTTTACTGGAACACGGTGAGCGGGAAGGAGGCCAACAACCTGCTGAGCTCTGAGCCAGCCGGCACGTTCCTGATACGGGACAGTTCGGATAACCGGCACTTCTTCACCCTCAGTGTCAAGACTGCCTCCGGGACAAAGAACCTGCGCATCCAGTGCGACAGCTGCTCCTTCTTCCTCCAAACTGACCCCAAGAACGCGCAGTCGGTCCCCAGGTTCGACTGCGTGCTAAAACTGATTCACCACTATATGCCTTCCAAAGGGACATCATCCGCAGGGAACGGGAGGAGCACCTATTTCATTTACTCCGGCGGGGAGAAGATCCCACTCGAACTGCTCCGGCCTCTGTCCTCCAGCATGTCCACGTTACAGCATCTCTGCCGGAAAACCGTCAATGGGCACATTGACATCTCCAGCAAAAGGGACCAGCTGCCCCACACGGTCAAGGAGTTCCTCCAGGATTACGATGCTCCTATTTAAAGCCTCCCCCGCCCTCCCAGCTGGAGCGGACATTCGTAGAAATGGCCTCAGTGACTTGTTTAAGGTGGAAATCTTGTATGTGAGGAATCTCTGTACTGTAACCGAAGGGGCCAACTTGATCAGAAGGAATCTGTGTTAAAGTCTTAAAATTAAAATTGAAGAACATGCAAGACAACAGGAGCGGCTGTGTAGCTAGCATGTCACTCTAGTATTGAGGATGGTACATAGTTCTCTTTCACTAGCAGGCAGTGGATCCCGATTGTGCCTTCTGTTTGTAGTAAGACGCTCGAGAAGGGATCACTAGCACAGATCTGTCCAGGATTAAGGAAGGAGCTGGTGTTCAATATTCTAACCAGTGCAACTGCGACTCACGTTGTGTTTTAACACCAGTCCTTTTTAACCTCGTACCTGATTAGCGTACCAGTTTGCTGCTCTGGCTAAGCGCCATGTTTCGCTGTTTGATCAGAATGTTATAATGTAACATTTAACTTCTCATGGAGAAATGTGACCCAGGTTTTTAGTCCCACGTTTGACTAAGACCCAGAACCAGAAGGCTGGGTGACTCAGACATTTCCACTAGTGCCTGCCAAGTATTGTTACCTATTAAGTGGGTGTGGGGATAAGAACCCACAGGACATCAGCCCTGCTCTTCTGAGACACTGGTGAATCAGCCCTTTGGCCTGGTCTAACTGTACGCATTGTGAGGCTAGTACAGTTATACAGACTAAAAGTATTAAGTGTGTGGAAGGCTCCATGAGATTCCTTCACCATGAATCCAAACACTGTGAGGAAACCTACACCCAAGATTTCAGATCCATTATTCAGTGGAAAATCCTGAATGTATCCGAAGTAAAATACGTCTGATGGAGCAGCCTGTGTGCCAGCAATCACTGAGGCCAGTGTAGAGCCCTGAGGTTTGCAAATTCTGGAAATCCACAACTCGCAGAACAAGAACCGTCTTATTCTGGATGGTTTTGGAAGAGTTGTAGTTGATTCTGGCATTATCTCCCAGCTCCGACGGGTGTTTTATTTCGGTTACTGTGGCCATCTTTGCTTGCATGCCACTGATGGGTGGAAATTATAACTGACAAGAGAGCTCTCTCCTCTTGAGAACCGCTGTGCTAGGGTACGCATGTGAAACTGCAGGCACCTTTGCTTTCTGGTTATTGCAAAGCAGCTCCAATTAAGGAGAAGGTGGAAAGAGGTGACCAGGACGTCGGTAGCTGACCGAGATTTCCAATCCCAGCTAAAGATAATGTGAAGGCAAAGCTGTAGAACGAGAGTGGTGGCATTGCAAAGCATGAGCTAAACACACCTAGGAGCACTGGGGAGGGGGCAGGTTTATCTGAACCAGTGTTGTCTCAAGGCCTTTTTTTTAAATCAGAAGTGTACCCTGATGAATAAGGTGGCGTTTGTTTCTCAAGCACGACAGGAGATCTGCTTGCTAATGAATGTATGGGGCGGAATCAGCCTTCCTTTCTCGGTGCCTTGCCCGTTACCGCAGAAAGGTTGGGAGTTCCATGTAGTATTTTTATAAAAACAAGAAAATGTTTACATGTGTGAAAACAAACGGAAAACCTTTTTTTTGTCTTTTATAAAGATTCCACCTTAACGTCCAGCCCGATGACTGGTAGTACAAGCTTGAAGATCTATGGGGAAAAAAAAAACAACAAAAAACAAAAAAAGAAACTTTGCACATATTTATATTTATAAAACATTTCAATAATTTATAATAAAGAGCACTATTTTTTACAAAATTAAACCTGCTTTTGTGTATTTCTGTTCCTTTCCCTTAGCCACCGATGGTGTGGTGTAGGGAGAGAAAGTGTGTTTGGCACATCATCGTGAAAAACATCTTTACGGATGTCTTTGGATTCAGCATCATTTCTTAATTGGAGTAATTAGATGCGCCACAGCTGGCTGACAGCAGTGAAAGCCCTGTGCAGAATAACTGCAGAGCGTGATGCATGCAGATCATGCAGTGGTTCGGGGCGGGGGGCTGTGTGGAGAGTTCAGGATGCAAAGGAGCAAGCAGAGACTAATCCCATGTTGAAATGCAGAAAGGATAGGTGGAAACCCATCGGATCCTCCGGAATGTTTCCGGGTGGAATTATTCTAGTTTTTGTGCATTTCTAAATATTCATACCCCCTGGGCATTGGGATAGAAATCAGTTAAATCCAACATCACCCTTAAGGATTAAATGCTGTGTAAAGATGCACTGAGAAGACTAATGTCTATCAGAGGTGCTTTCTTAGGGTTTCAATTCGTAAGCATGTCAAGTTACACTTCTGGCATCTGTAGTATGTTACAATTTACACACTCTTTTCCTAGGGTCTTTATAAACTTCAGCTGGAAGTGTGTCAAAAGACATTTCTTGGCCCTTTCGCGGGTCTCTGAGCTCTTGAAATTGCTCGCCGTCCTTCCTCATCTCTTCTCGAAGTTCCACTGGTGATTCAGAGCTGTCTGGACCGACAGTCATAAGCGTTTACTGTAACACTCCTCTACTCGGGCACAGCCTCTGTTATTTATGCTTTCTATGAATCAGCACACGGGTACAACACTTCACATTGCACTTCCCACGAAACAGAAAGAGGTCTGTAGTACTCAACTCATACTGGCACTGAGCTCCTTCTCCTGCAATTCTTCATTCAAGTCCCACGGATATTTCCCTCCGTCTTACACAGAAAAGCCCACTGAGTCAAGTTACTCTTAAGGGAGAGCAGTCTTCATTTCTAGACTTTGTAGTTGTCAAAAGTGACAGACAGGTGGGTTCAGAATGTGAACTAAGCTTTTTGTGCAACCGCGCAGCTTTCTGTTTGAACTACAGAATGCTTCTTGAAATAAATCTCCTCACCTGTCTTCTTTGAACTGATTACTTTGTTTTATGACTACACTAAGACTGAACTTCCTCCACTGCTACGTTATGCATTGCATATAGGGAGAAACATAAAATGACATTTTAAAATAAGACGCCGCTGCTTTCATAGGTAAGTATTCTATAACAAAAAAAACAGACATAAGTATAAAGTACGTAAGGAGGCATCTTAAAATGTAAAAAAGACAGCTGTTTGTTGTTAACCAGCTAAAGGATTCTACGCCATTTAATTTTATTATTCAATCATCTTCAGGGGTTAAATACGAGACGAAAAACACCAACACACTCTTCTCTCCTAGTGTCGATTAATCAAGTGTTTTCCTCTCTGTGTCAACTTGCCCACTGAGTGATATTTAATTAAAAAGAAGAGATTTTAACATTCTGAAATAATTGCATACAGTGGGCTCACAGTACTGTGATAAGACACCAATGCTTTCCCAAGATAACACTGGCAGTGTTATCCTCAAACATAGCTCTGACAGACAGAAAAAATAGAATATGATCAATGCACCACAGACACAGAAGCAGTGTGATTTGATTTTGTGGTTTATGATGTATTTTTACCGTGAATAAACTACATGCAGTATATGAAAAAAAAACACGTCGACTGAGCATGAAAAACGTATCTGCGACAAATTCACAAAGTAATCAGGAAAATTACTGTTCTTTTGTAGTTGGTGCTCTGAGTAATGTATCACCTAAACAGACATGACAATGGTAAGTACATTATGATGATTAACATTCCAGGAACTGGGTTGATTAACGGAGGATGAACAGTGAAAGTCACAGGCTACTAGCATGTGTAGCCTCTGTTGGAAACAATTTTAGCTCTACAACTGAATCATGTGCTTTTCGCCAAGTTGCAGATGCTGTTTTGTGGGATTCTGTCCCATTCTGTAGAGCCTGGACAAGCATGCGTCAGAGCGTAAGAAACTGAATTGTAAATTTTCTCTGCAACAAGACCAAAGGTGACTACAATTTTTTATTCTGATTCAGCTCAATTAACCGTGCACAGAAGAGTCCAATTCTGTCGGGCAGATTATTACCTTAAAATAAAATAATCAACGCCAGGAATGGCGCTTGGGTGGCACAGTGGTTAGCATTTCTGCCTCACAGTGCTGGAGCCCTGGGTTTGATTTCAAACTTGGGGTGCTGTCTGCATGGAGTTCCTACTGTATGTTCTCTTCACGTTCATGTGAGCTGCCAATGACATGACTGTTAGGATAAGTGGCTTCTGGGAAAACTGACCCTTCTAAGAGTGTGTGTGTGTCTGCCCTGCGACGGACTGGCGTCCTGTCCAGGGTGTACCCCGCCTTGCGCCCGTTGCTTGCCAGGACAAGCCCCAGTTGCCCCGCGACACTGAACTGGACAAACCGATCAGAAAATGGATGGACGGAGGAATTGTGCCTGTCGGTTGAGTTTTTCTCTTCCACCTATTGGTAACCAGCAACTTCTAAAACAAAGAGGCAGCAAATCTTCGCAGCTGAGGAAGGCTGTCTGCAGGCTGACTGCAGGCACCCCTTCCCCTTGGCCTCACACCAGCCCTGGGAGAGAACATCGCCAGGGCTGGAATTAAGAGGCGAGTGAAGGCCAACTGGGTGCCAGCTGAAATCCACAGCCGAGCTGCACGAGGCCGCCATCGGATGACGAGTTTCTGGGAAGAGGCTGGAACGACGCTACCTGAGGTAAAGGCAAGGACCAGCTCAAAGGGTGCTTTGTGGATTGAGCGTCTTTCCACGAGAAGAACTCAGTTAACCTGATTCTCCTGACAAGAGAGCAGGAATTGTAACCACTGGCTTATTACTTCAGATACATTTTTCTTCGTTTTTGTGTTACTGGGGTAGCATGAGAGCTACCTTGCACTAAAATTCAATCAACCTGTATTAAACTGAATCTGTGATGTCCAGTAAGCACTTCGTACATCTCCTTTTCTCCAGGTCCTGGTGACTGGTGCTTGAAGCAGAGAACAACAGTGTCTGAGCACTAGTGAGCTGAGGAGCCTGCCGACTCCTCAGCTGTAGCATGTGTGCTGCTGGCAGGGCTTGCTCTTTTACTAACTTTCAAAAGCAAAGCACATAGCAGGCTCCCACATGTATCAGAAGTGCTGAATGGAGTGACAGGGCCAAAAAAAAAACTAACAGACTGAGAACCAGGGCCAAAGAGGAGAAGGCAGGTGACATGCATCAGAGAGGACCCTGAAAGATAAAATTGTGCGTAATGGCTACACTTGCGCAAGCTTCACCTCCTCCGCAGTTTCTTCACGTACATGGTATTGCTGTTTGAGCTGCTGCCTCCCAGCTCTTGGGTCCAGGGTTCAATTCGGGACAAGTGGAACATTCTATGTGGAGTCTGCATGTTCTAGCCCGCCCAAATGGGTTTTTTCCCCAGATACTGCAGTACCGTCTGACCTCCTATAGGGAAGTGAAGTGTCTAATGTTTTGTAAAGTTCCCTTGGGTTTGTGTGTGCCCTACGATGCACAGGCTCAGGAGATTCCAGGATAACCACTATTTGCCACAACCCTTACCAGGAATACGACTGGAATAATCAGTGGTTATCAAGCCACAGCAGATTGAACGTAATTGGTAGAGGTGCCCATTTTTTACCATTTGGGTCCAGAATCTAGCAGGTTTTCTGTTTCCTTAGCTTATAATAATTCACATTTACACTGACTAATTCATCCTTTATCCACGAACTTAAGTTGTCCAGGCTAAACACTAAACATTTGTGCTGTAATAACTGTAAATACCTTCTACTGTTAAGAAAGAATTGACTTTACTAACAAACTGACAGTAAAATCATGTGTCTGTGAAAGACTTGTCTTGTGTGCACATATTTATTTGGTATCTGCATCGCAACTGCATCATAAAAAAATCAATATTTTAAAAACATCTACAAAATGCAGAGCCACCATACTTAGATGTAAAATACAGGAATATAGAACAAATTCATAGAACCAATATTTCTATGAATAAATCATTCACATGTTTTTTCTGTCCTTGTCTGAAGGTCTTTCCAAAATAAAGTTACTTCATTGGACGTATAACTGTCCTCAGAAGGAACTACTGACACAAAGGCTCCGCTGTAAATATCTGACTCAATGCATGATTCACCCCACTCCTGAACTGCAGATGTTCCTTTACTGAAGTGCTCAGAAAAAATCAGTCTGAAAACAGCCTAAGCCCTACCAGTTCTTGTCGTCACTACCTATACAACCTGTCCCAACAAGCCCCTCAAACAAAACATCTTTTACAAGAAATGGAAAGGCAATATGGGTGGTATGGTGGAGCAGTAGGTTATGTTGCTGCCTTGCAGCGCTGGGGCCCTGAGTTCTGTACTGCACCTGGGGCCCTGTCTGTGCAGAGTTTGTATGTTCTCCCTGCTTTTGCATGTGCTTCCTCGGTGTGCTCTGGTTGGAAAGCCACTAAACAGTTGTATTTCGGAATAGAATTACAATGAGAAATAGCTCACCAGTAGGAAAATGGAATATAGAATTCTGAAACCTAGTCTGATTCAGCTTTACAATTGTTGCGTGCTGTGGTGCTATGCTCATATTGAAGGTGGCACGTCATCCCTGCACACAGAGCTGGCTGCCAACGTAATTTGCGAGCAATTATAAATTTTACTGAAGGAGTCCGGCTTCTCATGATCAAAGTTAGTATCTCTCTGCAGGAACATGAAATTAAAAAGCAAGACAAATCCTTTCTCTCCAGATTAGAGGAGTTGCTTCCAGAAGAATGTAGGGACTTTTTTTTTTACTGTAAGGCTAGGATGCTTAAAGAAAGCAACTGGATCTGTGTGAAGTTCAAA